TAACCATACATTTTACCAAATATTTCACTGTGTTTGTAAATGCTATATTTTACACATATGTCAGATAGACTATGCAAATTAAAGGTTAGAATATTGCATTTGATGTATTCTTTTTCAGCTACAGATCTATAGCTACTGTTTCGGTTTTTCTTGCGATAGTAAATGTGATTGTAATTCATAGTGAAGTGATTTGTGAATGAATAAATAGGGAAAAAACATTGATATATCTTTTTTGTTGTTGTTGTTCAGAACTTTGTACCTATTCAAGTTTTGCGATAATTGATGATATATAAGCTACTTGTAGTGTAGTAAACTGACAACTTGGTGGTAGTTGTTAAACTTTTTATGTAGAGCTATGTTAAGTATTATTTTAAAATTATTTTGGAAATGAAAAGCTTTTTCATAAAACAGCTTATTTCGTGGTGAATATATTTTTGGTGGATGTTAAAGCGAAGTTTATTATCTTAAAGACAATGTCAAATTCACTCAAAAATTAAATTCCTTAGGCTACTAGCTTGCGTCTATATCAGAGGTAGGGCTACAATTAGTTAAGTTTTATTTAATTCTTTATAGAGTCTAGATTAGACCGCCGAAGGCCTATGATTAACTTTTTTTGTTTTTCGAGGGTTAAGTCGATATGGCCTAAGCCTAGACCCTCTAACATGTCATATTTCGTGGCCAATATAGTGCTAAAAATGACCCATTTAGGCCTGATTTGATGGCCCAGTCCGCAATAAATTGGTGAATTAAATAGAGCAACCCCCCCTAAAAGAATAAGAATGGCTACCTCGCGCGCACTGTGTTGAAAATTCCCGATCAAAACTACTGGTAGTAAACCTAAATCGCTATTCACAGCAACAATGTATGTTTACCAGTCCAACGACGTATAACTTTAGATTTAAAATATTCCAACGTAAAATAACTATTCTGCGTCGAACGAAGGTTAACTAACTTAAGTATTTAGCGACAATGCAGTATTAGACGATACATGCTGAACATGTCACACTTTATAAGGATTGTGGGAATTTCAGCACTTTGTTAAAGTTTCGACTTTCAATTTTAGAAAATAAGTTTCAAGTAGTCATTACCACAAACATTTTTATTCCATATTTTGAATTTAACTGTTGTAATATACATGAATTCAACACAGCGAGTTTGAAAATAAAAATCTTCGTAAAACCTCAGCAATCTGAAAGCCGCGCCGAACGGAAATCCAAGATGGCGCAGACCACTAGGGGCAAGAAATCCAAGTCCTCAGTATTTGCTAAGATTTGAATTAATATGCGTTTATACCGAAAGGACGTAATGTCCTTTTAATGTACTTTCGTTAGCGACTGTGTAAACATCACTTGATAAAGGGCTTGTGTTCGAAATGTTGAATAAATGAATTTCCAAGTGTTAGTTTAATTTCTACTCTAGTGTTAGTGTTACCATGTTTTCAAAGATGACAATTTTCGGCAAGCTACAGAAGAGTAAAAGTGAAACTAAAATTCATTATTGTAGGGATAATGACTATAGCTAATTAAAAATACTTTTCTAACATTCTTGTTTATAAAAATTCGAAAAAGGCTTTGGTAGCGTAACAGACTATGTTAAAATGCCAATTTCAAAATGTTTTATTTGGAAAAGAAGTCTAAAACTGTAAAAGATAGTGAGTTTAAAATTTATATTTCACGTTTTTTTAATTTTATGTAAATAATGGGAACTCTTACTGCATTACCTAAATTCCATCTGCAAGCTAGCATAAACAACAAAAAAAAACTTGCTCCGAGTTTGGTAACCTTTTACTACTGTGCTGTCAGTATATAAGCATTTTCCTTAATTTTGAAGTTATGTCAACAGAATAATGCACTATCAATTTCCATATCATTTCTGTTACCATACAAACACCTCGAGAAGTAGATTATAGAAGATCCATGCCCATTTTTATAGCTATATCTTTAATCTGATACTATTAGTTTGATGTATTAGTTATCTCAAAAACACTGCTGAACTATAATTTACAAAGTAAACGTAATATCATATTTCATCATGCTCATAAATGAGTAATATTAATATTAGTATGTTCTTTACATCAAATAAATTTCCTTATGCATACAAGTTGCTGTTTGTTTGTTCATTACATTTTATGAGTAACCATATAATATCAAAAAGAAAATTAAAAACACTTCATAGAAATTATCCACAAGTACAACTTAACTGTTTTTTAAAACACCTAACAGACTAAGAACAATGTTTTCCCTTAAGCCCAAGAAAGACACAATCTACTTTATACAGAAGTCCTATGTAGTATATTTCTATGCATGTTCAAGTTACAAATTTCAATACATAGTTCCACTACCCGTGACTTCATCAGAGTTGCAAAGAACGTCAAAGATTAAAAACTACCCCACTAGCACTGGCAAATACACATTGGAGTGCAACAGTATTCAGTCTTCCAAACTGCAACTTCCAACAGCAATCAAAATTAAAGTGACTTTTGCACATTAGAAACGGTCACTACTCAACCTAGAAGCCAGTATCCAACAAAAGGGAACAGGCTTTATCAATGAAATTGTAACAATGTAATGATAAATTTGTTTCAGATTCATACAACATGAGTTACATTTAGAATTCCACAAATAGTCTAACAGTAAAGTAATGCAAATACTCTGTTATTATTATTGTTTCAGGTATCCATTTGAACTTTTAATACATCTCAAAATTCAAAATAAAATTAAAATATCACAAATGTCATTGCATATAGATTCTCTCAATTTTCAAGTCATAAACATTGTTCTGGAGCATCAGTTGTATAACATTCCTTAAGTTTAACTTGAATGAGTAGATAATTAATAGTTTATGTACATATATGTATGCACACACATAGCTTTTTTTATTTTCCATTTTTACTAAATCATTTTCCATCACTGAGGTGGAAGATTTTGTAAATGCAGTAAATTGTATGGTGCAAATATTAAGGAAAAAACCTCATTGTTAATTCTAATTACAAAATTTAAAAAAGAAAATCTGCTTGAGGTTTTGTTTTTTGTTTAGAATTTTATAATGTAGGTTTTGTGTTAAAACTGTAGAAGTTCAAAATTCTTAACTGTTTATTTTTTGCCTGTGTTTCCTAGACCTTAGGTTGGAGAAGGATGTTTTAATGTAGGATTCTGATCTTTGTGTTAAGACTGTAGAAGTTCAAAATTCTTAACTGTTTATTTTTTGCCTGTGTTTCCTAGACCTTAGGTTGGAGAAGGATGTTTTAGTGTAGGATTCTGATCTTTGTGTTAAAACTGTAGAAGTTCAAAATTCTTAACTGTTTATTTTTTGCCTGTGTTTCCTAAACCCTAAGTTGGAGAAGGATGTTTTAGTGTAGGATTCTGATCTTTGTGTTAAAGCTGTAGAAGTTAAAAATTCTTAACTGTTTATTTTTTGCCTGTGTTTCCTAGACCTTAGGTTGGAGAAAGATGTTTTAGTGTATATAAGAGTATTTACTGATTCTGTCACTTGGTAAGTGTGGTTAACTCCTTTTTTGAATGACTATGGCTCTAATGAGAATCTGGGTTATCCATTTTGATTTTTTATACTTTTGATTTTAAAGCAAATGGATGGCATTACTTGTCTTTCTGACAAAAAGACCCAGGTTCAAATCCTGGTTCCTGCCAACACACACACACACAGTCCTTCTCAGAACTTACCCGAAGTTTACCAGATGAAAGGTAGGACATGAAATAATTTGTAATCCTTATCTAATAAAACAAATTAGTAATTAATTACTTATTACACTTGAGAGGTGACCTTAGAGGTTAATAGCCATGTTAATGGTTGAAATCTGATTGCCACAACTTTACCATAAGTACACAACTGTCCTAAATATATCAAAGATTAAATCTTACAGTTTTGAAAGTTTGATTTAAGCTAGTTGTTTCATTATTCTTTTCTAAAACTGATATAAATTTAGTTGTTCCTTTTCAGTATTTTACTACATTTATCCAAAATTTATAACCTTTTCAAATCAATCTAGGCTTAGATGTTGCCTATTTTGTTGCTGTCTAGTTGTAGTAATAAAGATTGGAAAGAGGTTGTTGGTAAGTTACCTTTAATGGTTTTTTTGACATACTTTGGTTGTTTTACTGTTTGCCAATCTGAAAATTCTAAGTCTAAACTATTAATGTATAATTTATGAAGCTATTGGAATGGAAGACAAAAAAACAATTCAAATTACATCTGGCCACTTAGGACACCTTATAAATCAGAAGATGAAGTTTGTCCATCAGGTAGTACCACATGGTGAATTACAAGACAACATCTGAACTTCTCTTCCAAGCAATATAGTACCTGCCTTTCTAGTTCAGCATCCATGGGCTTAAATAAACTAACATAAATAGCCCTTTTAAGTAATGATTGCAGATTCTTTTGCTCCAGGTCTCATTAGGAAAACAATAATAGTACAAGTACAAACTGTCTGTTTGTTGATTTTAAGACAGAACTGTTTTTTTTTTATAAAACACTACAACTACATAAGAAGGTCTGAGTTTAACTTCATTTATACTCGAAAGAAACAGATATGCAAGCAAGTAATGTAAAGACTATTTGAAAAACCTTACGCTAGGGTGTTGTTTTTAAGCCTTTGCGTCATCAGTTGATTCAACATTAGAGTTTTATTAAAGTAAGAAACATATAGTGTTTTGGTTTGATTTGTTTCCAAGCAGATTTTTCATGAACCATGGTAGTGGCTCATAACGGAGATTGCAAAGAATTGCACAAAACCCTAATAGAAAGTGTGGGCAAGAGGCACCTTAAGCAGTAAAGATTCAGTTCAAACAACACTTTAAATCCTTTACTATTATATACTACTGAGGCTGTACACACATTAAAATGTACAAAAAAAGCACACATGCTAGAGTTACAACGAAAAGAAAATCCATTCAAAATGGCCCGTTTCTAATTTTTCTTCTTATTATTCACTTGTCAGCCTACAACAAAAACGGCTTGGTATATTGCACCCAAACCTTTTGTAGAATACTAAATAAGGTACTGCAAAGGTCATAGCAGTATTAAAAAGTCAATTTGTTTTTCTATATTTTACATAAGCTAAAAAACATCATAATTATAGTGTAAACAATGTTATTATTACCCCTTGAAGTTAGCTTTCTTGCAGACATTTGGTGTTCTATTAAAAAGCTTAAGTACAGGGTGAAACAGAAATTGCTAGCCAATAATGATGAACATTATATGACTGTAACATGTAGATACACAATGCTTAGTACACTATACAGTCAGTGTCTTTAGAGAGCCAACCTTTATATTATTAAGTTTTATTACACACACATTCATAGAATAATTACTTTAAAAGACACAAAGGTTTATTTAAAGCGATGTTTTAGAAGTTTATCTTTTATTTGAAAAGGCTGCTTTTCTACTGGTAATATTTTATATGTGCTTAGTGGGGGCTGTTTATTAGTCTACGCATAAATTTTCCCATTGCTATGATTATATATAGAGAATTTAGTTACACAAACAAATCTCCAGCAATCTCCATCTGCAGCTAAACATTTTACATCTTGAAATAATGTGATCAAACAGTCAATAGCTACAGTAAATCATCATGAACTATATTAGTTACTTACTAGCTATGTTTATTATAAAGTTATGTATAAATTTAACTACCATATTAACTAATCCTTTGCCCATAATAGAGCATAAAAAATGACAGCAAACAATATACATAAAAAATTTATCATAAAAATAAGTAAGGAAATAAAGCTGGAGTTACTGTAGACATTATTTACTTAAACCGCAAATCCCTATTTTTAACTCCACCAAATGTAACTCTAGGTAACAACATGGAGCTAAAATAGGGGTTTGCAGTTTGAGTAACTAATGTCCACAGTATCTCCAGCCTTGTTTCCTTACTTTTTTATAATCCTTGTTTGTAGGTTTTTAAATTTCCATTTCTTTTATATTTTGTTGAAATAACAACCATTGTACATGAATATATACATTGAAACACCTTTTGTATTAGTTTTTTTTTCAACTATGAACTTTCAATAGGTGACAATTGCAATATTGAATCATGAAAATATTGATAAGAGCTTTAATGACATCATTCTGTACAGTTTATGTTGATTACAAAGAGGTATAACTTTCCATCATCTACAATACCAGAGGTGATCATATTAGTTACGTTATAGATGTGTGTGGTTTCTCTAACACCCTATGTACTTAAATAATTTATGTACCTAAGCATTTCTTCTAAGCAATAAAAATCCTTGTCTAGTTGGATAAATGTCTGCAGACTTCAAGCTATCTAGAGATTCTAGGTTACAACTGAATTTGTATTTGTCTCAGGGAAGATATATGAATATTACAGTTTGAAAGACAACCAAGAATAAAGAGGGTATAAGGCAGATCTTGCAAAAGAGTTGATTTATGACTGTGTAGGAGTTGTCCATGAAGATTTTCAAAAGTGGTACATAAATTATTTAAATTTTTTTTTACAGTTGAAACTCTTATGAATAACAATATATTTAGTTTACACGATATATATTTTCTTGAAGAAAATGATTTTTTATTTATTGTATACTTCTGTAAAAGACAAATTTAAAAATAAACTTATTTTTTTGTAACATAATGACTTGAACTTTTATTGTTCCAAAATACAATTTACTATACATAAATCTCCAAAGTTTATAGTAGGTGTTAGCCTTTTTTACAATTATGCTTACAATCATAATAAAAGTAACAATTTGAACTTTGATATGTAGATTGTTACTGTATTCATGAACATTTTAGCTTAGAAACCCTTTTCTCATTTACCTAACATCAGATAGCTTATAATTTCAACTGATATCGCAACATTCATCATAAGCTATATTTTCAGCATTATAATTTAGTTGTTTGCTAGAAGGAGCTGCTAGTTTGATGATGCAATTTCTAGAAAGTTCATGAATATTAACAATTGAGAGGCTTTGTGTAATATGTAGAAATAAGAGTGGTATAAAAACGAGAATCATTAAGTGAGTAATAAGTATTCAGTTCATGTTCTGCTTAAGTCAACTCATTTACTTTATTTTTTCTACAGCATTTTTATGTTCCTTGATCCTAAATTTAAAATTTGTGCCTGTTTGGTTAATGCGAATTCGACCATAGTAACAAGGAATTTTATAAATCCCACATTTATCAACTTTTTCAACTCTATCTTTTGTATCGGTAATAAAATTATTTAGTTTACAACACGAAGAAAATGTTACACTACATTCTGTATATATTTTTATTATGTTACATATTCTTGTTGATAAACCTTGAATATGTGGTAAACAAACCCTCGTGTATCAACTTTATCCTTCCCTTTAGCTTTGTACATGATGACATTTAATTTATTAGACCACCCGTGACCCGTTGGGTCACCCACTATTCAGAGGTTATGAAGATTTCAAGCTAATTCATATATTGCACTGAAATGAAGGTTTATTTTGAGATAATTTAATTAAATATTTCAATCTATTCGTGTTATTCTTAATTCAAGAAAAAATATATTTGATTGTTGATCGGTAGTAAAAGGAAAGACCATTTCATTTTTTAAAAGGTAAAGTCAGAGTTTTCAAGTATTGTGATGAACAAACCTTGTTTACAATTGATTCAAAACGCCTGAAAATAAGAAGTAACAGATAAGAGTAATATTATTCATAGTTTATTAGAACGTAATTGCTATAAAAAAAAACAAAAAAGCTATTTCAGAAAAACAGTTAGCCCCCCAGTGGCACAGCGGTTTCGATACCCGTGGTGGGCA